TTTTAAATGATCAGATATAATTTTGACACATATATTTAGTTAATTTATCCGACGAAGAGGTATCACGTGACACCGCTTCGTAAATCCGCCCATGTGCATCATCACTCAATAATTTGCAAGATCACATTGCATTTATTTAATGTATTTCATACCTATTTGCACATTATTTAATTAGAAAGCTTCTATCATATTTCTATATCAGTTGAGGATGCAATTCCACAAAGTCAATCAAGTCTAGTACTATTCGGAGTTACTCTTGTGATGCAAACCCAGTCTATTCCTGATCTTTTCATTTTCTTCCTTTTGTAAATCTCTTTAATCTCAGTTCAAAAGTTTAGATCACTTTATATATTTGCTTTTTAGGACGTTAGAACAAATTATTGGATTTTAATTGCTCTCATCTGCCAAGAATTAAATTAATTGATAACTATTTCTAATCACGGTAGGATTGCTACATCAATTATACTTTACTTAACTTGCAGGGACTTTATCATTTAATATTAGTCTTTTGCGCTCATCACAAACCAAATTAAAATTAGCTAGATTTAGAAACATTTCCATAATGGGAGTTGGATCTTCCACAAGTCTTGAATACGTAATTACGTCTTAACAATAACAACTACGTCTCAGTCCTAAACTTATGGTCAACAATATAAATCCTCATTCCTTTCATTTAGCTCAACTCATATCATCATCATTATCAAAATAAAATAAAATTGCATGTAATATATATATATANGCTTCTTTGAGTCTATGTGCAAGGTTTTAATTCCATCAAAAAGATTTTTCCTTCTTTTACTCTTTTCCTCCATTATTTGTATGTGACTATCCGTAACGTTTCTTCGTCACTTTCTTCCTTCTACTTCACGGGCACAACCCATCATAATATTTGAAAGGTATATTTTAAAATGAGGATGATTCATTCAAATTTTACTACATTTTGTTGACATGCTACTATAACTCTATTTTACACAAAAAGTATTTTTAAAAATAAGTAGTAGGTTTTACAAGTTCAACCAAACATACTCTAAGTTAAGACGAAGCTCAACATAAGTTTTAGAACGAGAAGGGAGGGTGTTTCAAAATTATAATCCATGTGTACGAGATATATGATGGAGTTTGGACTACGATCATAAATTTCATTTAATTTTTGGTATGTAGGGGTTAGAGGTATACCTAAGTCGGGTTGATTCAGATTTCTTAATTACCAAACTAAATAAATTATGTCGGATTTTTAAATCTATAAAACAAATCAAACCAACAAAGTCGGGTTTTTCAATTTCGCTTTTTCGGGTTTTTAGATTTTTTCCGGTAAAGTCTTAATAGCACAAAATATGTAACTTGTGCTCCAATTATTTCTTTAGTCCCAGTAGGATACAACTATATAATGTATTTTTCAACAAAATAACACAATAATATGAGATGAGTCATAACATTGTACTAAAATATTCAATAACAAAGATAATAAAATCGCATAAAACAAATATTGCTAATTAATAAGCCATAATAAAAATGAACATAATTTAAAAGTACTATATAAGTCATGCTAAAATAAGTATATCTAATAAGTACTATTAATTACATGACTAAGCACTAAAGAAAAAGATAAACTAAGTTAATTATTTTCATTATAAACCAATGCAAAACTAAAAACAGATATCCAACACTATTGTCACTTTTAGTGTTGAATTAAATTTATTTTGTTAGCATTAATATTGATTTGAACTTTATTTGAGTTACTACATTTATGGGCTATAAAACTTATTGGACCATTCAAGAATGTTAAGTCCAAGCTTGAAATAATACATTAAAAGATAAAACTGTGAAAAAAATTAAGAATATTTATAAATTAAATTACAATAATATTTATATATATAAAATATTTTTAAAAATTATATAAATGTAATGTCGGGTTGGCTTGATTTCAGTTTGACTTTGTTTTAGTTAAAACCAAACCAATTATGATCGCATTTTTTTTTTAAAACCAAACCAAACCATGTCGGATTTGTTTTTCCGATTTAAGTCGGTTTATCAATTTGATGCGGTTTATCGGTTTTCTTTGTACACCCCTAATCTCAGGTTTACATAATGTACCCAAATGGACAAAATATAAAATTAGGTTACAAATTTCTTAATTTTTTGAAATGAAACATGTATAATGCCTTCATTTTATTTTATATAGTAACACTATTATTAGGTATGGAGTCAAAATATCTCATATTTAAAAAAAAATATTTTTTATTAATAAAATTTAACTTATAGGAGTAGCACTTTTTCTAATATAGCACTTCTGTCGCGCCAAAATCTTGTACAGTCCTGAGTGAGTGATGTTGAAAGCTGCAGTGTCTTCAAATCCCGCCACTCTAACACAAAAATTCGTAACCTTTCTGGAAAAATGCAAATCAATTTCAGAGTTCAAGAAACTCCACGCCTTGTTAATAACCTGTGGAATTTACAAAGAAACCCAATTCAATTCAAGAATCCTTAATTTCACAGCACTATCTGATTCCTCAAACATAGGCTATGCTCATAACATTTTCCTACAAACTGAAAACCCAGCAATCTTTGATTACAATACTCTAATAAGGGGCTATTCTTACAGCAAAAACCCATGTAAATCTCTGTCTTTATTTGTTGAAATGTTGCAAAATGAGGTTGTCCCTGACCACTTTACATACCCTTTTGTTATTAAGTCATTGGCTAAGTTGTCTGATGTTAGAAGTGGTAGGAGTGTTCATTGTTGCGTTTTGAAAACTGGGTTTAATGATGACTTGTATATTTCGAATTCTTTGATTCATATGTATGGTTCTTGTGCTGATGTATTGAGCGCGAGGAAGGTGTTTGATGAAATGCCTGTGAAGAATTTGGTTTCGTGGAATTCGTTGTTGGATGGATATGGGAAATGTGGGGATGTTGTTTCGATGAGGGAGGTGTTTGATTCGATGATAGAGAGAGACGTTGTGTCGTGGAGCTCGTTGATTGATGGGTATGTTAAGGATGGGGAATATTCTGAGGCGTTGGCGGTGTTTGAGAAAATGAGATTGGAAGGGCCGAAAGCGAATGAGGTGACCATGGTGAGTGTTTTGGGCGCTTGTGCTCACTTGGGTGCACTTGAGCAAGGGAGGGCAATGCACGGGTACGTGGTTGAGAATAGGTTGCCTATGACTTTAGTGTTGAGGACGTCACTCGTTGATATGTATGCTAAGTGTGGTGCAGTAGAGGAGGCATTGGTTGTGTTTCGAGAGGGTTTAGGGAGAAAAACCGATGTCCTGATTTGGAATTCCATAATTGGAGGTTTGGCAACACACGGGCGGGTTACTGAGTCTCTCGAGTTGTACAAGGAAATGCAGGATTTAGAAGTTAGACCAGATGAGATTACATACTTGTGTCTATTATGCGCTTGTGCTCATGGCGGACTAGTAAAGGAAGCTCGGCGTTTCTTTGATTCTCTCTGTAAAGATAGCATGACAGCAAAATGTGAGCATTATGCCTGCATGATGGATGTATTAGCACGTGCAGGTCGTTTAACAGAAGCTTACCAGTTTCTGTGTAAAATGCCTATGGAACCAACTGCTTCCATGTTAGGTGCGTTACTAAATGGCTGCATCAATCATGGAAAGTTAGATCTTGCAGAAGAAGTAGGGAAAAAGCTTATTGAATTGGAACCATTACATGATGGTAGATATGTTGGACTATCAAATGTGTATGCGCTTAAAAAGCGCTGGAATGAAGCTAAAGCAATGAGAGAAGCCATGGATACTCGGGGAGTGAAGAAAATTCCTGGTTTCAGTGTTGTGGAGATCTTTGGATCTCTTCACAGATTCATAGCTCATGATAAAGCACACCCTGAATCGGATCAAATCTACATGATTCTAGAGTTTGTTTTGTGGCAAATGAAGCTAGATAATGATTGTGACGAGCAAGAACAATTGTTTATGTGATAGCAATCATATAGGAATCAGTATTGGAGATGGCTGCAGTGCACTGCAGATGAATGGCAAATGATGGATAACAACACTTAACAGTCGGAGTGATATGTCGCTATAGGATCATAATCATGCAGTTCCTTTATGGGCAGCTATAAGGTGGACGACCACCTATAGGTGGTAGGCCACATAGTACTACTCAGAATATGGCCAATCTTTCTCACGGTGTGTGAGTAGGTCTTGGAGCGCATTAAACTCATTACTACCTTGTAAGTGCATTTTGCTAGAAGTAATTCTGAAGCCAAGGAATTTTGCATATATTTAAAATAAGGAAGCATACTCTTGTTCTTGTATAATATTTTGAGTTTAGTAAAGTGATCTCAATCTCCTTTTTCAGGTCGTGATTGAAAGAATATTACAGTTTGAAAACCAAGATTCACAGCAGACGCCAAACATCCATTGCCAAGATAGCTTGTTGAAATACAATGTAGCACACTTGATAGATACATACCTTTGATATTGGCAGAGCTTTTGATGGACGTCATCTTCATTGAAAACGATTGTTGCAGTCACAGAAATTGGGATAGAGTTACTTGTAGAAATCTCCAACTAGAAGGAAGTTCCTGCACAATTCGATGGAACAGGGGCCATCGTCTTAATATAACTGATAGGGGATGCATGGTTATATAAGCTCAATTAGAAAGCAGAACTTTCTCCACTTGTTGCAAATGTGAGATCACCATTTGGCTGAAATGATATACTCATACTGTTACCACTTTCAATGACACACTATCTGATTCTGATGTAGTAAGTATAATACATAACTACACAGTTTGAGTGGAGAACTCATACTTGGAGTTGATGAAGGTATCTTATTTTGTTTTATTGCTATAAGAAGAAGTTGTAGCTGTCTTTTGATTAATCATTCTCCAAAAGTGTGTACTGCATTTTATTGGACGAGTTAATATTGTTTCCGTGTCCTTTATTTACATTGCTCCCTCTTATGTAAACTCAATGTTTTAACACACAAATTACAAAAAGCTGTGAGTAGCTCCATCTCCTGTGACCTTGTCCAAATCCCCAAAACACGAACCTTTACAGCCACGTGAAGATTGGAGGTGATCACCATATCGGTTTCTCACCTTTGGTGAAACTTGAAATAGTTGTAAATAAAAGGCTTGCAATAATGATGTTGCAAAGAGAAACTTTCAACAATGCAAAAGGGAGTAAATAAACTATAAAGTTGCCTCCGTGAGTCACGGGTTCGAGCCATGGAAGCAGCCACTAATGCTTGTATTATGGTAGACTGTCTACATCACACCCTTTGGGGTGCAGTCTTTTCTCAGACCCTACGTGAATACGGGATGCTTTATGCACCGGACTACCATTTTTTTATTTCGCTGATAATTGCATACAAATACCAGGTTGGTGCCTTGTGCCTACTGCCTTGTCTCATCTATGTGCTAGTGTAGCACGTATAGAGGGTGCCAAGTTCACGGCACGAGGCCTAGTTTGGTAAAGTAAGTCAGTAAGTGACAACAGCTTAAGAGAGTAAGCAATGGTTGTTCTTTAGAGTGGTCACAACAGGTATACCTTATGGCCAAAAGGACTTTATAGTCAAATGAATAAAGAATTTAAATAACATCTATGTTTGATATCAAAGTGAAACTAGTCTATAGCTGTTTCAACAAGTTGTATATAAAGGTCTTCAGCTACTCCCATCACTTCCTTAATGTTTTAAGTTGGATGTTTTAGAGCCAAATTGTGGCAAGTTCATTTATATGAAAGTTTCTTTCAATTCCTTACTTAATTATATGGGGTCACTACTAGTTCTTGCTTTGAGCTTCTTTTTACTCAATATTACTCATTGAGTCATAACTCAATAGCTTTTATGTAGCGACATCCTTTGCATGAGAGTCAATAGCTTGAACCTTCCTTCTCGCAGTCAGCTATATAACTCAATGATCTCTCTCCGTGTCCAACCGAGTCTATACGATAGAGTGCAACTATTGATCATATTGTGTATTCCATCCTGCATCAAATTAACCTTTCAAATTCAAACTCATAAAAGACACAGAGTGCTTAGACAATCACGTATGGCTAACAACAGCGTCTTCATCAATAGCTGTTAACTTGGAACAAACCCTACAGCTTACTATATGAACCTTTCTTTTCTTTTATTTGAAAATATGTTCCTTGGAAAACATTTTCCCCTACCTTGTGCACTTGACTGGACCCAAGATACAGCCACAAGCTTCTTTGCTACAAATAGAGTTCACATATCGGGTTCTCCTCAACACTCAGAATACCTCCAGTTTTCGACCAGATCTTATCAATCTTGAAACATTTAATAAAACAAAATGAGGTCACAACATAAAAAGTTTCTTAGACAAAGAGCAGAAAGCTTAGAAGAAACATACCCCTCTGTGTGTTTGCCATAATATCAAACATAAGGTGTAAAACCTTTCTTTAAAATAGGGAAAATGCTCCTGCTGGGATCAATATAAGGCGTAGAACTTTTCATTGACGTGCAATAGTGTGGAACAGAACTCATCAGTATACCAAAACCGACAAGTGTAGAGCACGATACTCAATGCAAAGCATTTCCTCGTTTTAGTTCTCAATCCGAAGTAACTACAGATGCAAACAGATGAGGTCAAGAGATCTAAAAATCCAATCATGTTACCCGACTTCAGAGATAGTAAGAAGTGCTGTAAAATGACTCTCCTCCAACAGGATTTTCACATTTGAGGAAGTCCTTGGATCTGCTAACAGGGAAAGTATTGCCTCTTTAAGGGTAGAAAGATCCTTACCATTTAAATCTTGAGAAGACTCATCATGGACCACCTTTTCTAGTAGGTTAAAAGCTTCATTAGGATTTGAATTGTTTATAAAAGCTTTTATTAGCACTATGTAGACATATGGATCAGGTTTCATCTCCTTCCTCTCCATTTCCTGCAGATAAGTCAGCGCAATATCTGGCTTTCCACACTTGCACAGACCACTAATGAGAGCCATAAAAGTTACTCTACTTGGAGAGCAACCCTTTGACTCCATTTTGACTAAAAGCCTCATAGCATCATTTGGTTTGCCAGCATTGCATAACCCATCTATTAGAGTGGTGTAAGTGATGGCGTTGGGCTCCCGTTCTTTTTCTGCCATCCTAGTGAGATTTACAATTGCCCGATCTATATCACCATTTTTGCACCATCCATCAATCAGTGAGTTGTAGGTAACAACTGATGGAATAAGCCCCTTATCCATCATGTCATCAACAAAACCCTGGGCTTCAAGTACTCTTTTGGCCTTACATAGCCCATTTATCATTATGTTATAAGCAACCACATCGGGGCAGTAACCCCGAGCACAGATCTCTCTGAAAAGATTCAATGCTTCATCCAACTGTTTAATCTTAATAAGACCATCTATCACTGCTGAATAACCAACTACATCAGGGAGAAATCCTTCTTGAACCATGTCAGCAAGGAAGTTAGAAGCTTTGACTGCTTGCCCATCTTTGCAGAGTTTCTGCATGAGCAGCGTGTAATATTTTATCCAAGGTTGATGCCCATGTACACGCATCTCCCTCACCATAGCAAGGGCGCCCGCATCATCCCCTTGTCTACATAAGCATCCAAAAATTGAGTTGTATGTGTAATGTGTTGGCTGAAATTCTGACTGTTTCATCTCATTCAAAAGCTCATAACATTCATCAAGTCTACTAGATCTACTCAAATAATCAATTAAATTATTGTAAAGTAGCACACTGCGTTTACAACCAATATGGTCCATATCTCTAAATAGGCTGAGAGCCATTTCCAACCTATCCGCCCGACACAAACCATCAATAACTATTTCAAAAGAAATGGTATTAGGACAAACAAGTTCCTTCATGAAAAAAGGATTGTCCTTATTACAATCACCACCAGATTCAAGACCCGATGATGCACAAAGTAGACGATACGCTTTATCAGTTGAACCATTGTTAATAAGTCCTTTCAGGACAGAATTATACAACAACATCCTATCTTTCAGATCAAGACTCTCATACCTCTCCTCAACTATTTGGATCATGTCTCTTTCATCACGCACACAAGATATAAGGTCGGTCAGTATTTTAATATCAGGACGGACACCTGAATCATTCATTTCCTCGTACAGCTGCATAGCTTTCTCAGTCTCACTATTCCTAGACAACTCTTCTATTAACACACCATAAACAGAAATGTCCAGTGCAAAGCCCATCTTCCTCATTTTATCCAACAGTTGCAACGCTTTATCCGTTCTGCCTTCCCTCACAAAACCATGAATCAAAACAAAACATGTCTTCTCATTTAAGCTAATGTTAAGATCTTCTATCCTCTCAACCAACTCAAACGCCTTATCCACCTTACCCCACTTGCTAAAGGAAACCAACAAGATCGACAAAACATGTGCATCGACCAATCCTTTCTCGCGCATCTCATTAAAAACAACCAACGCATTGTCAAACATCCCCGCATTGCAGTAACACCGCAAAGTAGGTGTCAGAGCATACTTATCAAGCTGACACCCATAGCTATTCATCTCCTTCAATCTCAGCTCAATTAAACCAACATCACCAGCCTTAGATATAGCATCTAACAAGCAATTATAACTAAAACTATTTGGAACACAAAGACCCGACTTTTGCATATGATCAAACAATTCATTAGCCTCTTTAACCAACCCTTGATTACCTAAACACCTAATAAAGAAACCCAAAGCACGTGGAGTAAAATAACACTGAAATTTAATCACATCATTAACCAACACTCTCATTGAGTCAATTTGTCGAGCACCTGACAGACACTCAGCCATTAAATTAAATGTATGACAATTATGACTAAAACCACTTTGATTCTTAGCCCAATTATAAAACAATTGAGCTATTCTCCAACTTTTGAGCCTTTTAAGAACAAATTCAACAATTAAAGTTGTGATCTTTGGACCCAACTCATCAAGTCCTTGGCTTTTTGATGTATCAAGGCGCTTAGTGAATATGTGTACAAGTTTATCAACGATTCTTGAATCTTCTACAGAAAGTGGAGGGAGAAAATTTTGAGGTTTTGGGCAAGTGGGTGTTGAAGAAAATGGAAAAAAATTGAAAATTGTAAATGGGTTTTGAATTTGAGTGTTGTTATTGTGAGTATATAGGTTGAGGAGTTGTTCGAGTGATTTGGAGAAAAGAAAATGGGATCTTTTGAATCTACAGAAAGCAGCCATTGAGTGATTTTGCGAAGTGGTGAGAGCATTTAGGTGTGTAATGGGAGTATTACTCCATTGTCTAAATTCTTAAGAACAAAGGAAGTGTGGTTGGTGAAATTGATTAGCTTTATATAGGCTCATAGGTTTGGTTATGAATTGAACACCGAGTTCTTTTCCTTTCTGGAAGTTGAACTGACATATTCAGACGCAAATACAGTAATAAGTACTCCAGGGAATTTTTTTATCTTTTGGAGAGTTAATTTGATTAAATTTTAAAGTTAAATTAGATTAATATTTTATTTTAAAGTTTAAAATATAAATATTCTTAAATTCTATCATAAGTACTAAAAGTTATAACTATTATTACGTCAATATGATGAAAACATATATATTAAAATATTGATCAAAATTTATATATTTTGAATCTCAAAAACAACGAAAATGAAGGAGGTATTATAAATCCTCATTTTTTATAGTTAAAATATTCTGAAAGAATTTGAAAAAAGGTGACACAAGTAATTTCACAAATGCATGTTGGATGCACCTAGGTGAAGTCAATGCTAATTCCACACAAACAATAAAGGGAAACTTTCGGAAATGATTATTGTTCGGAGACTTACTGCTGAGCATAGCTAATTATATTGCTTGCCATGGGATGTATGTCGTTTGTATTCATCGATTGTATATACTGTATTCAATTCTAAAGTATTCGTTCTGCTATATTTTATATTGTATTCAATTTCACTATATTAAATTCAATTGTATTCAAACAACAAAAAAATCAAGAAATAGGATGTTTACCGTTCTATTCAATCGGTTGTATACATTATATTCAATTCAGTTATATTCATTCTTAACTATTTTACATTATATTCAATTCAGTTATATTCATTCTTAACTATTTTACATTATATTCAATTTCACTGTATTCAATTCGATTGCATTCAAACAATAAAAAATCACAAAAACGATAATATTCAGTTGTATCCAATTCATTGTATTCATTCATAACTGCTTTTACACTGTATTTAATTCACTGTATTTAATTTGGATGTATTCAAACAACTAAAATTCAAAAAATACAGAAATCTGCCACAAAAAATAACCTTCGAAATACATAAATACAGACGGAAAAAAAAAGTATTTGTATCATTGTATGTTACTCAATAGCAAAGAAGAGAAGAAAGTTCGTTGGAGATAACGTCTTCCTACTAAGCAAAACACTGTATACATTGTATAAAACTAAAAAATGGAGACGAACAAAAATTCGACCAGATCTGAGAATACACTATCACATTTTATTATCAAAATCCGGTCACACGAATACACTTAGATATGAGATACAAAGAAGCAGAAGAAGCCATGGATTCCTGCATTTCCGTTAGATCCAGATCTGGTGGCGCCTCCGCTCTTCCTCCTCCATTGTTTTCGCTGTCGGTAATGGACATATCGTGATTTTCAAATCTGGATTTGACGATGGAGATGAGGGAAGGGAAGAGAGAGAGATGGCTGGATCTGATGGTAGAGATGAGACAAGAGAAGAGAGAGAGAGAGGCGGCTGTTTGGTTTGGGCTCCGGAAGACCTCCTCCGGATAAGATGACCGGCTAGACAGCTGCCATGCCAAGGGTGAAGAGTGAGGGGAAATGGGAGAGAGAGTTTAGGGAGTTGAGAGAGAAGGTTGAGGAAAAAGTTGAGGAATTAGTTGAATATAATTGTGCTTTGCTATAAAATAGAAAAAGTTTATAAATAATAATATTTTTAAAGTATTTTAGTTTATAATAAATATGGTGCATTATTTAGCTCTAGCATGTAAATTTCCAATAATAAATTACTCGACTCTCCAAAAGTACTTGTTACAGAATCGTATCCTAAACATTCTAAGTGATCATAGGAACTAGGGGTGGCAAATAAGCGGGTCAGGTCGGATATGAGTCGGATTGAAAATGGATAATGCAAAAACGGATTAATTATTCGACCCAACCCATATTTAAGATCGATAGAAAATGGGTTAACCGGCGAATAATATGAGTATCCAAATTATCCATGACTTCTTGAATATGATCACCTTTGGAAGAACTCCTAGTCCCCAAACTGAGAAACCCACAGTTTCAATCTTTACAAATATAAAAATTAAACTCAATAGTTGTCCATTGGTTATCCATTCTCTAAGTGAATAATATAGTTCTTATTCATATTTGACCCGTTTTTAAAAAACTCTTATCCAACCCATTTTTTAATGAATAATATAGATGAGTAACTATTGTTTTTATCCACTAAAGTCTTGTGGGGCTTTTACTCAAAGTCTAATATCATTGATTATTAGAAGACTGGAAGTCCAGACAGGCAATCAATGGCAAGTGCAACTCATGCATCAAAGCCTCAACAACTGGATCAAATTGTTCTAGTTCAATGCATATTGTTTTATCAACTCTTACAGCTCTAGCATTAAAGTACAGTATATGTTCCTGCAACCAAGTACAACATCTACAAGTTCTTAGTAACGGTACTTGGTAGAGTAATCTTTAGGCGCAATAACTAGACCTCGACCCTTTCTTGCACCACGATACACTGTCTCAACAATGTCGATGAATTCCTGTTTATCCTTAAGCGCCCAGTTGATCTTGTTATTGTTTCCGGTGCCAAGATCAATCATAATGTGCTTGTTCCTGAAGAAGAACATAATGGTGGACGGATCATACAATTCATACATCGTGTTAAAATCAGGTACTTCAGTGATGTCTACCAGGTAAATCACAGCAAAGTTCTTTATTGTCTCTGCAACTGAAGCCAGCACCTCATCCATCTGGAATCCAGAAGAAATAAGTTATTAAAACCAAAAGGAATATCTACGGATTTAAAAGGCAAAGAATCTCAAGACACCTACGAAAAGCCAAACAAGCATAGAAGCGCGCCATTTTTTGAAGTAGGGGCTAGTCTTACCAGGACCAAGGTCTTAAGACTCAAGTCCATGTTATTGGTCTTAAGACTCAAGTCCATGTTATTGGTCTTAAGATTCAAGTCCATGTTATTTGTGTTATGCACTGGTAAGGCGAAATGTACTTTCAAGAAAAATGTAGCCTATGAACCACTCACTCATCTTCTCTATACACACTAATCACAAGTTATTACAGATATCCATAGCCAACTGCATATGAACTCATATTTCACAAAAGCACCTTTAATGCCAAATCAGTTCAAAGCAAGGGGGTTTCAGAATCTATCAATGGCAAGAAGACCAGATTCAGGAAGATCTGGAAAATTATTATACTAGTGAATATGTGGCTCGTTCTTACGGTACATTGGTTTTATAATTTGTTTTTAGGATGAGTTATTTGGCAGATGCAATGTAGGATACATGTTCAGAGTAAAACATGTAAACAAAGATTAGGATATTGCCATTTCTATTTGATTCCATAGTATCTTATGGTGATCATACTCTTGAGCAGCAAGTTATTCGCTGTAACAAGATTGGGATCATTTCCATGGACTTGGATCATCCCAATTGTGGTTATAACTACAAAGTTTGACGTCTCAGTGGACAGAGTTACTCGATACTCGTGTTGGTGGGAAGTAGCAAGTACCCACTGAAATAGTCGAAGTTTGCAAGCTGGCCCAGACACCATCCTCATATATTAAAAGACAACTAAGATTGACAGCCCACAATTTTAATCTTTGAAAATTACAGCTGCTTCTAGCACTAACTCGTCCCTTGACTGGGTTCCATAACCAATACCCAAACTTAATTAGTATGTCTCTACGCCTCAATTCACCAAATAAGACCGAAAGCTTAAACTTCCAAAGAATCTACACTTTTAAGTTTTAAACTACATCAATTGATAGGAAAACAGAGTTTCAAACTACAATAAACCGTAGATTTAGTTTCCATTACAGATGATTTATGTCTTAGACAACAGATTTGGGAGAGGGAAAACACATGGAAAGCACGCCTCAAGTTCCGCTTCAAGTTCCATATACAGGATATAGATTCCAAACTTATTAGCCACCTGTTGAATTACAAGAGTTTTTACAAGCTCCCTTTCTTTGTTACTTGTGCAGGATAGCTATAAGCAAGAATCAATAACTCCAAACCATAGAACCCCCCCCCCCNCCATAACCAGGAGCGTACCAGAACTTTTTGTAAGTGGTGTCGTATTTATATAAATAATAATAAATAAATAAATAAATAAATATTATCTAATATTATTTTCGACATCTTGGCCAATGATCTATTTGAATATTATTGCAAAGGGAGGTGTAAGTTCCATTCTCCTTAACATCAATTTTTTAACAAAATTGCTCGCTCAAAGATGTTTAAAAAATAGAATATCTAGGTCTAGTAGACTCAAACCTACAACCTCTACAAATCCAAATATAAGCTTAACCAAAGGACCAAGAAGTACTCTTTGCCAAAAAGCTATGTCATTATTATATATTGCTTCATTTTTACAGAATATTAATATAAACGAAGCGGTGTCGGATGACACCGCTTCCACTCATGTACATCTGCCCCTGCCCAAAACACAACTAATACTACCAATACTGCTATCGACTATGTATCAAAATTTGTCAATTTCATTCTACAGAATTATATGTAGAAATCAGTACTACAAACTAGTTGGGATCGGTTGTATGAATCCTCAGTATACGCATAGTCAGAAGATACATCATAATTAGACTATAAGTGCAGTTATATTCTGCACAAATAAACAATAAAACCAAATACTCCAACACTCTATTTGAAGGGGTGCCTTGGAGCAACAATAAATTTGTCTCCGTGTTAGCTATAGGTCACGGGTTCGAGCCGTGGGAGTAGCCATAATTAGGATAGGTTGCGTACGTCACACCCCTTGGGGCAAAGTGCGGCCCTACCCGGAGCCTGCGTGAATGCGGGCTGCTCTTTTTACTCCAATACTCTATTTGCCTATCATCAATGAGGCAATCAGGTGATTCAATCCAATAATCGATCAATCTCAATCATCTAGAACTACTCCACTCTATTTTAGCCATCAAGTTTCTTCTTTTATGTATGTAATCACCCATCAAATTGGTCATACTATATGAATCCTCCATATTATATCCAAAGATTCTTCTTTTAACTAATAATTGCCCACCAAATAAAGAAAATTCAAGAAATTGACAATTTATATAGTCAAATGCTTATATAAATTGCAGGGTACTAAAGAAATACGGTAGCGTACCTGCATGCAATTATCATCCCAATCATGGCCAAAACGAATGATGACAAGGCGTTCCTCTTCAGCAAGAATAGCTTGATCCACTGCCCACCCTGAGTGAAGATGTGGCAACAAGTACGACATCTCTCTCTCTCTCTCTCTCTCTAGATTTTGGATTTCTTGCTCTTTATTATTATGTAATGTAATGAAAAGAAACAGCTGAGACAAATGACATAAACAGTCTTTTGAGGTCCGTAAGTATATAGGGGACCAAAGTGCTAGAAGGGTCTCGAATGTGCTAGTAGCCCACCAAAGTGTATAGTTCAGGTGTATAGGTTTGTTTCATATTTTTTTAATTATCAAACCAAATCAATGGTGTCGAATTTTTAAATTTATAAATCAAATCAAACTAACAAAGTTGAGTTTTTCAATCTTAATTTTTTTCGGGGTTTTCGAACTTTTTTCCGGTAAAGTCTTCACATCATAAAATATATAACTTGTGCTCCAAACATTTCTTAAGTCCTAGTAAAATACAACTATACAATGTATTTTCCAAAAAACTAACACAATAATATAAGATAAGTCATAACATTATACTAAAATATTCAATAACAAAAATAAAATATTAAAATTACATAAAATAAATATTGCTAATTAATAAGCCATAACAAAAATTAATATAATCTAAAAATACTATTTAGGTCACTAATATTAATTACATAACTAAGCACTAAATAAAAAGATAAACTGAGTTATGCATTTTCATTATAAACCAATGTAAAACTAAAATAATTATTCAACACTATCATCATTCCTAGTATTGAATTGAATTTCTTTTGTTAACATTAGTATATTGATTTGAACGTTGTTTGAGTTACTATATTTATAGGTTTTAAAATTTATTTACCATTCAAGAATGTTAAGTCTAAACTCGAAATAATATGTTACAAGATAAAACTGTGAAAAAGTTTAAGAAATATTTATAAATTATATTACAATAAATATTTATATGTGTAAAATATTTTTAAAAATTATATAAATGTAATATCGGGTTGGTTTCGTTTTGATTTGACTTTTTTTAGTTAAAACCAAACCAAACCAATTATGGTCGGGTTTTATTTTTCAATACCAAACCACATCGAATTTTTTTCCGGTTTGACTCAGATTATCGATTTGGTGCAGTTTATCGGTTTTCTTTGTACATCCCTTGTCACGACCCAAAAATCCCACCACAGGCGTCGTGATGGCACTTAGTTTTTAAGATTAAGTTAGCCGATTATAATCATAATTCAAGCTATTTTTTTTTAAATAATTTAATACAACCTCTCAAGACTGGTAATACTGAGTCACGAACTCTAACCGAATACATAAAATTATCTCGAGGGTCTAATATGCAATACTATTCGAATAAGAAATTAACAGTACAATAAAATGGAAAGACTCCAAGGGACTGTGATGACCAAGCAATTACGGATAATAAAACATCGACTTAGAAATTTATTCTAAAACGTAAACAAAAGTCAATGCGGGGCCCGTCTCCCGGAACCCGACATAATTTTCACGAAATTCGAACACCCATTCCCATATGGTGAAAATCGCCTAAAACATCGCTTCAATCCGAGCTCCATAGCTCTAATATATTAAAAATGGCCGAAACATCGAAATATAGCTACTGCCCAGGTATTTACTCTTCGTGATCGCGAAGCAAAACTTTTCTCATCCCAAAATTTGCCTTTCGCGATCGCGAAGAACAAGTGCCCAGCTCTTCCAGACAGCTTCTAGTATAATGGTCATAACTTTTGGTACAAAAATCCAAATTACAAATGGTTTAACTTTATGAAAACTAGACACCAAGAGCTACAAGTTTTATTTTTGGATCATCTTCAATTCTTTATAGATTGCGAGATATAAGCTTTCAAAGTCGGGTGAGTGCAACAGGAGTTTTCTCTACACGATCGCGAAAAGGCTTCCGCGATCGCGATTCACAGTGTCCAAACAGCAAAATTGCTCTTCACGATCGCGACCGTTTGTCCACGATCGCGATGCATACCTCTGTGGCCAAAAACCAGTAACTAAAAATGGCTTAGAAATGGTCCGAAACCACTCCGAAACTCACCTGAGCCACTCGGCCGCGATCGCATTTCACAGTGTCCAAACAGCAAAATTGCTCTTCGCGATCGCGATGCATACCTTTGTGGCCAAAAATCAGCAATTAAAAATGGGCTAGAAATGGTCTGAAACCACTCCGAAACTCACCCGAGCCACTTGGGATCCCATGTCCGAACATATCAACAAGTCTCAAAATATATTACAGACTTAGTCGAAACCTCAAATCATATCAAACAACGCTAAAATCACGAATCATACCCCAATTCAAATTTAATGAAACTAAGAAATTTCAACTTCTACATTCGACGCCGAAACCTATCAAATCAAGTCCGATTGACCTCAAATTTTGCACACAAGTCATAAATGACATAACAGGCCTATGAAAATTTTTAGAACTGGATTCCAACCTCGATATCAAAAAGTCAACTCCCTGGTCAAACTTCCAACTTAAACTTCATATTTTCGCCATTTCAAGCCTAATTTAACTACGGGGTTCCAAATAATTTTTCGGACACACTCCTAAGTCTAAAATCACCATACAAAGCTATTGGAATAATCAAAACTCTATTCCGGGGCCGTTTACTCAAAAGTCCAGCTCTGGTCAACTCTTTTCATTTAAGCTTCAAAAATGAGAATTGTTCTTTCAATTTAATCCCGAATCTTCCGAAAATCAAACTCAACCACACTCGCGGGTCATAATACATATTATGAAACTGCTCGAGACCCTAGTCGCTGAACGGGACATAAATTCTTAAAATGATAAGTCTGGTCATTACATTCTCCACTTCTTAAACATACGTTCGTCCTCGAACGTGCCAAGAATCTTTCTGAGGACATTAAATTCCTGAGTGCATTCTTACACACATACTAGTGGGTGATTCTACGTTCTCGCAATTTAACACGGGTTCGACAACACTATCTCAGCTGAGATTATTCCTTTTTGCTCTCCTTTATAATCATTAAATCCAATTCCTTACAATCTAATTAATTTCAAAAAGGCTTGATTTTTCATATTAACACACTGTGTTAGTCTCAACCGGCGGTAGCAATTTCGTGCCTACACAGACATTATACGTATGCCCATAATCATATTTTTGGTCATAATAACTGTTCATAATTAATTCCAGCATCCTCAATTAATCTTATATTAATCAAAATCTAGTTTCAAAATTTTTACAACACTGACAGAAACACGTGAGGCATGAAGACCACATAATTATTTATCCGAATTAATGAGTCACATTTAACGCCACCTGGGTACTCACCTTATAGGCTAAAATTCAATATTTACAGTACGAATATGGCTAAATATGCACAAAAACACATAAAAGAATTATCAAATAAGCCTAACAGACATGACTCCTTATTAATACTATAGTACAAGTTTTAATTTCATAAAGGGAGAATTTAAACACATAAACTTTCATCACAAGGATCTTGTCCTTATATAACTTCCATCATGGCTTGTAGCCCAATTTAAATATTTCACATCATATATAAAAATGCGAGGATCTCGTCCTCAACTCCGAATCACAAGTATTTTGCACATTATGCCAACTGAAATTTTTAATTTCCTTTCTTTTTTCTTTTCAATAAATTTCGTAAATAATTTTTCTCAAAACATAATGAACCCTCGTACCGATAGGGCATATAATTCATAAAATTAAATTTAATTATTCCGAAATCACATCGAAACCCACTGTAGAGAGTAATAGAAAGTCGCATTTGAACTCATAGCCCACAATAATGTACAAAACAAAAATGATACACACGGGCTAATACCATAAAATCTTCCAACAGGAATAAACACGGGAGTGGAGTACAAATTTACTAATCCACCATATATAAGGAGCATGAAAGGAGTTCTCACCTCGATAATCGAAATCGAATCAAAGTAAGAATGGTGCTCCTTTTATTATAAATTAAATCATACCTGTAACTACACCATCTGGTGTATCGGCCTCAGCCAATTCATAGCAATTATATCAACGGGTCGGGCCTCCACCTCTTAGGCGCCCTCTACCCGCCTGTCCTCCACCCCTAACTGGCTATACACGTGGAATATTAACTGGAATAAAGCTTGTAGCCTCAGTGTTCTGATGAAATCTACCCCCTCCCAAGTCTGGGACAAATTCTCTTGATGTGTCTAGTATCACCACTCTCATAACAACCCCTCTGTGGGCGCGACTGCTTATACTGAATATCTGCCGGATAATTGGAATAACCACTGTAAGAACCCCATGCCGGTGGTGCACTAAAAGTATTAACTGAAGCACTACGAGTATTCTGAATTGCGGACTGGGCTGACCGACTACCCGAGCCTCCACCATGATGAGCCATAGCTGCAGAGTAGAATCCACTAAATCCTCCAGAGTTCCGAGACCTTTTGGCTTCCTTCTCCTTATTTCGAACACGTTCTAGCATCCTAGCAATCTCTACTACTTACTGAAATGGAATGTCAGCCTGCAACTCTCGAGCCATACATATTTTAAAATCATAATCGAGCCTTTCAATGAATCTGCAGACTCGCTCTCTAACTGTACAAACCAATATAGGTACATGACGGGCTAACTCACTGAACCTGATGGCATATTCTGACACCGTCATGGTGCCCTGACGCAACCTTTCAAACTCTGTGCGCCACGCATCCCGAAGAGTCTGGGGAACAAACTCTTTCAAAACATCTCTGAAAATTGAGTCCAAGTTGGTGGTGTTGCATCGACTAGTCTATCCTCATCATAAAATTGCCACCATTGATACACTTCTCCTAACAACTGAAATATAGTAAAGGAAACTCCGCTCACTTCTACAATACCCATGGTGCGGAGAATACAGTGACACTTTCCTAGAAATCCATGGGCATTCTCGGTAGCTGTGCTGCTAAAGTAAGTTGACTATATCTCTTAAACCTCTCAGGCCCCTTTTGTTCTTCTAATGCCTCTGGCCTGACCTCACACATGACCAGAATAACAGGTTGTACCGTCACCACACCAAAACCTGACCAATGTAGACATGCTGCTCTGGAGTACGGGCGGTAGGAGTCTGAGATCCTCCCCCAATCTGTGAAATATTTGGTGCAACGGAGATCAACCCTGCTTGAGTTGATATACCAAACATGTTCAGGAACCGTG